GGAGGGCTGCAGAGAAGGTGGAGGGGAAGCAGAGAAGAGGAATGGGACTGGGACTGAGGGATGGCAGGGATGAGGGGTGTGAGAGAATGGACTGGGAACAAGGGATGGCACGGTTATAGGGTCTGAGGGAATGTTCTGGGATCACAGCATGGCAGGGATAAAGAGGGTCAGGGAATGTTCATGCCCATGGGTTTCCAGGGATAAAGGGTGCCAGGGAATGTTCATGCCCATGGGTTTCCAGGGATAAGTGCCAGGGAATGCTGCACGACCCCAGGATGCCTTCTGGCACAAGGACTGCAGCTTGTTCTGAACCAGAAACTGGCTCCCTCCACAAGGGTTGGCTTTGGACACTTCATTAAATCTGAACCCAAAACAGACAGTGACTTCAGACGTTGTTTTCTCTGCAGATTTCAGCAAGTTCAGTCACACCTGAACTAAAAAAAAAACCCAACCAACAGCCAAACCCTGTCTCCCTGTCCCACATCCCAAATGCTGGCAGTGCACAACAAAAAGGGCACAACGTGGCAGTGGCCTCCCCACAGGAGGGGTGGCCCAGCTGGGAGGAGAGGGAAAAGCAGAGTGTTCATCCCTGCCTGTACTGCAAACAAACACCCATCCAGAAAGGAGCCAACTTGGCATTGAAAACAGCTATTGATTACAGCACAATTAAATTAAGATTATTCATGAGGCCTGTGGAAAAAAACCAAAAAAACAAAAAAAACCAACCAAACAAAAAAAAACACACAAAAAAACCCCAAACCAAAACAAAACAAAAAACACACAAAAAAACCCAAACCAAACCAAACCAAACCAAACAAACAAAAAAAACCAAAACTGAAACCAAGGCTAAGAACACCACGAAAAACCCCTAACCCTCCCAAAAACACCAACCCAAGGAATTCGGTGCATCTCAGAAAACACAGACTATGAAAACTATGGAAACCAGAAGAAATGCAAAGACAGTGTTAATGCTGTGAAATATGGACATGCTCTTCCAAAAACCAGACCCTGGGAGATTCAGTTTTGATTCAGTTCAGCTTTTAGATCCTGAGAGGAAAATAGCAAGAATTATAATGGAGATGCCGCTGGGAAAATCAAATTCTATGAACTCATCTGTGAGCAACACATTTTACAAATGAGAAGGCAAGTAAGACAGGGATGTTTAAAACTCACCTTGGAGAAAAGGGGGAATAATGAAATAAAAATAGAATATGCATAAATGATGCACCATTAAAGTAAAACGTGAGACCATAAGGTTCCTATAAAAGAACACAAGTCTTCGTAAATGCACAATTTACTAATCTGCAGGCTAATATCCAATATTTGAAGGCTTATCACCCGTTTGTGATACTTATCACGATGAACTATGTGTAAATAAACTTCATTTATTGGAAATATTTACAAATGTGTTTCATTATCCCCTTTCCAAACATCCTGTAATGATGTAATACTTCACAGCTGGGGAAAGTTTGAATCCCCACATAGAAAACAGCATTTTCACTGTCTCTTAACTACTGGATCACTCACATCTGAGCAGTCACACCTTGGAACCGCTTCTAATTTTAAGTGCAGTTCCCAACTGCACCTCCCAGCCCAGAAAAGGCCTTTGTCCCACACCAGAGCCACAGTGCCCTGTCCAAGCCTCGCTGTCCCCCCTGCCTGAGCTGATATTCAAACCAACCTACACAGCTGGAGACACGAAAGGACACCAAGAGCACAGAGCTCCGTCAGCAGTGATGATGGCAGTGAATTTGTCCCTCGGAGGGACAGCTCCTTGCAATCACTTAATGGAAACCTTGCTTTGGGTGGAATCCCACGGAGCTGTGCAGCACCAGCCCGGGTGCCAGGTGCTGAAGATGCACCAAGGTGGAGCAGAAGGTTCCCCAGAGCTGTTTCAGGTCCCCAGCAGAGCCCAGGAAGGAGTTTTGCTTTCAGGGCACGTTTAGAAGCCCTTGCACACAACGCTTTCCACACCTGCCCTCTGTGAGCTGCAAGAGGAAGCACTGCAGAAAACCAGGATCTAAAATGACATTTAATCACTGTGCCCTGACGAGCCTTGAGCTGGCACTGCTCAGGTGAAACAAGCACAAGTGACACAAAAAACCAGCCCTGGGAACTTCCTTCTCCTCCTGCTCTGAACTGTGAATTCCCAGGAGCAGGGAGAGCAGCGAGGTCTGCAGGAATTCCAGCTGGCACAGAACACAACACCCCTGTCTGGGCACACCTCAGGACTCCACACCACTGCAAATCAGAATTAGAACAGCAGTGGCACTCCACAATAAAACCTTTCAGCTACTAACCCGACCCAGGACTTTGCATGTGTGGACTAGAAAGAGCAATTCAGAGCATGTCAGCTTATCAGACAGCTCTTGAATCACAGAGATCCACAGTAACAGGTTCTCTTTGCATTTCTCTCAAGTGAAATACCTTGAACAATATAACCTAGAATATAAAACATTTCCTTTCTTGCAGGTTTGCCTTAAACACCTTACCTGGGGAACCACCAGAGCAGGCATTCAGCTGCTTCTGACACTCAACTCTCTCACAGAGCTGATTTTTAATATTCAAGCACAAATCCAACGCCTTCTTAACACCAGCTATGTAAAGAGTTGGTCATTTTAACAGAATAACATTTTCAACAAATGGGAATTACTGATTTCTAAAGCTGACAGACACATTACTTTTTCTGGAAACTTTATTTTCCTCATGAACTTTTTTGGAGCTCAGGTTCCTTAATTTCAGGGCACGTTCAGAGGCAAATGAAATGCATCATCCCTTCCAGGTAAATGGCTGAGATACACAAAGAAATTGCTTCCTGCAATCCTTTTCCTACAAAAGCAGAAAAGCCTTCGGGCTGGGTTTACTTCCAAATTCCTTTTGCTATTACTGCTAACTCATTTCCATAGGCCTTGTTATCAGGACATCCACCTGGCCATTCCAAGGAATCCTTTATCCCAGAGCTGCTGCTCAGCCCTGCTGGAGGAGCTGCTGCTGCTGCCCAGCAGTTCAGGGAGGTGCCAGTCCCTGTGTCCCAAAACCTCCTTTTTTCTGCCCAGTCTGAGGAGCACAAGGTCAGAAAGTTCTCTGTCCTTGTTATGGCTGGGAGCTGCACAGGGAGAGCTGACACTCAATTCATCACCTCCAGGCTGGGAAAACAAGCAAAACCAGAAAAACATCCACCCTGTGGGGATCCACATTTGTCCACTGGACACTTCTCTCTCACTGCCCACGCTCCCTCTCCAGCTAAAAAGAAACCAGGAGAAATCCTGCCCAGAGTAAACAACCAGACCAGCAATTCCAGGCCTCTCCGGGCCACAGCTCCATGCTCCACTCCAAGGCAAACACCAGGAACAGCCAGGTGTAACCCATGAGGAAGGTGTAGCCCATGAGGAAGGTGTAACCCATGAGGAAGGTGCAGCCCATGAGGAAGGGCTGAATGTCCCCACTGATGGACATGCAACCCCAGAGCTGGAAACTCAAGTCCACTTTTATCTTCAGGAATCACTAGTAAACCAAGACTTTAATTATGCCATCCCAGGTCCAAATTCTGCCACCCAAGACCCAAATTCTGCCACCCCTTTTGGTCATTAAATCCAGCCATGGCATATGACGGGTTTACTGATTTACAGAACAGTCGGTGGAGCCCTGGAAAAACCTGTTTCCTGAACTGTCTCCCAGATGCCATGGAACTGGTTTGGTCCACTCGGACCCAACTCACACCTGGCCAGGTGTTCAAACTGCACCTGTGTTTCACACAGCCAAGGACAAAAACTGTTTTTCACTGACACTATTAGAAACAAACCCCCAGCACAACTAAACAGGGCTCACAGCAGGCACCAAGGATTTGGAGGCTCCTTTCCTTTACTTGTCCAGCAACACAAGCCCATCAGATTTTGTAGGGTCACAAACCTGAATATCAGGCTGAAAATACTGCATTGGTAATTCCAGTCTGGAAGCTGCTGAAGCTCTCCCTTCAGTGTCACACAATTTGAGAATTCAGGTAACAACAGCACCATTGACACATATATTTCTTTTAAAAATCATCCTAACCTTTCAGATACTGAGGTATCTCAGAATTCAGGTAACAACAGCACCATTGACACATTTATTTCTTTTAAAACTCAACCTTTCCGTGAGAATTGGATAAAACTTTGAAGGCGGGTGGGCAGCTGTGGCAGGATAAAACCAGGTTTATCCATCCCCAGCCTCAATTCCATGGCAGAAATGTTGTGTTTTGAGGCCCTGCAGCTGCCAGAGCCTGGAAAATCAGGGAAATCAGGGAAATCAGGGCCTTCTGCTCCAGACAAACCAGCAGCCCTCTCACTCCAGGATACATCCCCGACTCCCAGAGCAACCCTCAGTAACAGTGACAGTAATCCCCAATGCTTTTCTCACTCTTCCCATAAAATGTTTCAATATCCAAGAACTTCACTTGTATCAAAAAGCGGGGAAACACCTAAAATCCTGAACACAGCTGAGGAACTACCCGGTGTTTTCACAGCAGAAAAGAGCAGAATTAATTAATTAATTAATTAATGTGCTAATATTGCACATTTCAGAGGCTGGACCTCAAATACGGCAAGCATGAGGCACCAAAACCACCCCTATTCTTGCAACAAGCTATTTATAATAATAATTATCCTTTCTATTCTTAGCTTTGCTCTTCTTTGTACTTCCAACACGAATTAACAGGGTGTTAAATGTGAGCTGAGGTATGAGTCTCTGATTCTCCAAAGCTTGACAGCTTGAAGGCAATGCCGGTTCCATCCCACAAAAACAAAGAGAGAAATGGCAACTTGCACGTTAAGTGTAAAACCCACAGTCCCGCTGAGAGCATAATTTTGTGCACAAAAATACAGAGAAAAAAAAAAAAAAAAAAAAAAAAGGAAAAAAAAGAAGGTAGGGTTGAAAGAAAATAGGAAAATCCAACAGATCGCTGTTTTGTAAATTTCCATGAAAAAACATGAAGACAACGGGATAGGGAAAAGGTAAATGACATTCCGTGCGTAAAGGATGGGGCAGCGCGGCTGCACTGCCACGGGAAGCGGAGGGGAAGGACAGGAGACCCAGCAGCGGCCCGGCCCAGCCCGGGCACGGACCGGCACCGCGCCGAGCCGGGCCGGACCGACCTGCGGAACACAAATTACCGGGACTTGCAACGCCCCAGAACCACCACGGGTACCGGCTCCGGAGTGGGAGCGGTGCCTCGCACAGCAGCCGAGCCCCGGCGGGCAGCGCCACCGGAGCCGCCCTTCCCAGCGGCCCGGGAGCCACGGCGGGACTGCCCCGGCCCGGCGTCCCCGAGCACCGACCGGCCCCAGCGGCACGGGGGGCCTCGTCCGCCGCTGCCGCCGCCGCACATCCCCGCGGGGTCTGCCGACAATTCGCCCTTCCAGTCACCGGCGCGGTGCGAGCCGCCTCCCCGCGCCGCCGGGATAGCGGGGCCGGGCCCTCCGTCCCCGCCCGGCCGGGGGCTGCCCCGCCGCCCCCCGCCCGCCGCTCACCGCACATGGTGCGTCCCGTCCCGTCCCGCTCCGCAGCCGCCTGTGCCGCCTGTGCCGCCTGCGCCGCCGGGGCCGCGCCCCTCGCGCCGGGCCCGGCGCAGGCCCCGGCCCGCCCCGGCCGCCATTGGCCGCGCCGCCGCCGCCCCGCCCGCCCGCGCCCGGGACGTGGCAGCCGCTGCCGGGGCCGCGTCCGCACAAAGCGGGGACGGGCGGCGGAAACGGCCCCGCCACGCGGGGTGGGCCCGCTCCCTGAGCGCCCCGGTGATTGCCAGCCCCTGGTCCGGTCCGGGGAGA